GTGAGGTATGCTAATTGCATTTTGATTGGAATTGTATTAAATGTGTATACCAGTTTTTTGAGAATGGACATTTTTACAATATTTGTTCTTATCCTTGAACAAAGAATGTTTTCCATTTTCTGAGATCTTCAATTTCTTATTTCAGAGTATTGTAATTTTCACTGAATAGATCTTTATGTCCTTTGTTAGACTGATGCCTAAGTATTTCACTTTTTTGGGTGTTATTGTGATGGGTGTGGTTTCTCTTATTTCTTTCTCAGTGATTTTGTTGTTTGTGTAGAGAAATGATATTGATTTTTTTAAGTATTTTTTCCTTTTTATTGGTACCGGAGATCGAACTCACGACTGCCTGCTGGCAAGGCAGGCACTTATGCCGCTGAGCTAAATCCCCAGCCCCTTGCTATTGATTTTTGAGTGTTGACTTTGTACCCAGCTACATCACTGAATTTGGATATTACATTGAGAAGTCTTTCAATGGAGTTTTGGGAGTCTTCTATGTAGACTGTCATGTCACCTGCAAATAATGCAATAATTGAACAACTTCTTTTCCTGTCCTTATTACTTTTATTTTCTCTCTTGTTTAATTGCTCTGGCTAATATTTGTAGCATTATATTGAATATGAGTGGTGATAATGGACAGCCTTGTCTTGTTCCTGATTTTAGAGTGAAAACTTTCAGTTTTTGACCACTTAATATAATACTGGCTGTTGGTTTGTCATAGATGGCTTTTTATCAAATTAAGGTAGAGACCATCCCTTTTGATATTTTGTAGGGTTCTTTTTTTTTTTTTTTTTTTTTTTTTTTTGGTCTTTTTTCATTTTTATCGGTACCAGGGATCAAACTCATGACTGCCTGCTTACAAGGCAGGCGCTTATGCCGCTGAGCTAAATCCCCAGCCCCTTTTGTAGGGTTCTTAACATGAATGAGTGTTGGACCTTATCAAAAAGTTTTTTCTGCATCTATTGAAATGATTATGTGCTTCTTATCTTTGGCTCTACTGATATGGAGTATGACATTTATTGACTTGTGTATGTTGAATCATCCCTGCTCCTGGGATGAGTCCCTACTTGGTCATAATGCATGGTCTTGATGACTTGCTGCACTCTGCCAGTACTTTATTGAGGAGTTTTGCATCCATGTTCATTAGGGAGATTGGCCTGTAATTCTCTTTTTGGGTTGAACCTTTTTATGGTTTTGGTATTAGAGTAATACCTATTACCAGGAATGAATTAGGGAGAATTGCTTCCCTTTTAATTTCAATGAAGAGTTTAGGAGTGTTGGAATGAAGCCTTCCTTGAAATTCTTGTAGACGTCAGCAGTGAATCCATCAGGACCTGGGCTTTTCTTTGTTGGTAAGGTTTTAATTACATTTTCAACTTTATTAATTGAAATTGTGATATTCAGCAGTTTTTACATCTTCCTGATCCAACTTTGGTAATGCATATGTTTCTAGAAATCTGTGCATTTCTCTTACATTATCAAAGCTATGCACTTAAAGGTTTTTGGAATAGGTATTGCTGATCTTCTGTATTTCCACAGGGTCTGCAGTGATTTCAACATTTTCATTCCTTATTGCTTGAATTGGTGTTTTTATTTCCCTTTTTGATAAGGTTGGCTAGAAGCTTAGAAATTTTATTTATTGTTTCAAAGAACAAACATTTTGAGTCATTAATTCTTTGTATTACTTTCTTAGTCTCAATTGTGTGAATTTCTCCTCTGTTCTATAGTCTTTGAGTTTGACTTGTACTTCTTTTTTGAATATTTGAGGTATAGGATTGTGTTGTTTATTTATGCTCATTCTATAAATTTCCCTTGAGGCCTGTTTTCATTGCATCCCATAGATTTCAGTAATTTTTATTTGCATTTTTGCATGTTTATAGATAGTATTTAATTTCTTCTTTAATTTCCTCTGAGACCCATTGGTTTGTTCAGTGGAGTGCAATTTAATTTACATGTGTTTATGGAGGCTTTTGCTTTGTCTTTTACCATTAATTTCTGACTTCTTTGCACTATTGTCAGGTAATATGCATGGCTAATTTCAATCTTTGCATTTATGTAAGCATGTTCTGTTGGATAGTATATGGTCTATTGTAGAGAAGAATGTGTATTGTTGAGAAGAATGCGTATTCTGTGTTTAACAAAGAAGAGAATCTGTGATGGGATAAAGGGGAAAGGAGGGACAGGAAAAGGAAAAAACACATAAACAAGATAGTTAAGGTAGTTATGTTGCTAGTTTCTCTTAGATCATTTAAAAAATTTTGTGTTAATATTATTTGGAGACTATCTCATTCCTTTGACTTGTACCCTGAATAACCACTCTGAAGATAACAACATGAAATGTGTTAATTACTGTTACTCTCCACTCTCTCGTTTTGAAATTCTGTTTTATTTTTTCCTGATTTTAAAAGAAAAATATTCAAAACATTAAGCAATAAATAAAAATGAAACATAAAATAAGAAAATAAAATAAAAAATATCTACTCGAAGGTGTGTCTCTGATGCCAGAGGTAAAACTGGGCAGACAGAGACCAATCACACACTGATCAATCTCATTGTGCCAAGAGTAGCTCTATGGCAGAATAGAGGATAATTCCAATGCACCAGCACCCCTATTTCCAGTGGAGTTCACGTGGCCTCAGTTTGCCAGACTACAACCAGATCTACTAAGCCAGATGCATTCCCGTGCCCACTGAGGAACTGAACTCTGCTGGAAGCCACTAGGTGGAGCTACCAGTCACTCTTAGTCCCAAAGTCTTTTTGGCTTCTTTCCAATATGGCCAATACTTTCTAATACTGGCAGTCCAGTGCAACCACTGCTCTGCTCCACTGGTGTCCTTCTCTGTGGAGGTCTCTGGGCTCTCCAGCAGGCACTATGTATAGTTTCAAGCTCTCCTTCCATTGCAATGAATCTAGGATCTGGGGGAAAGTGACACTTGCCTGCTTCTTATTCATTGAAGTCTCTCTTTGCTCTTTCTGAGTGCCTCAAGTCTCACATCAGACTCTTCCTAGGTCCTGGGACCACTTCTCTTATTTTCCTCACATTGTTTTGACATCAAACATAAAACTAGTGTTTTGATACCAAATCTTAAAGAGATTGTTCTCTACTCTGCCATCTTCCTGGAAATCCTCGAAAACAATAAATTAACTATCTTTTGTTGTAAAAGACACATAAGTCAAACTAAAGAAGGAAAAATTCAAAGGAAAAATGTGAAAGTAACTATAAAGATATTATTGGGTAATTACAAATTAGAATAAATCTATAATAGATTTATTAATTTCAGGTAAATTTGATATAAAATGCATGATTAAGGATAACAGGGTAACGCCTGCTCATTTCATAAATGAATGGAACCTTAAATTATCACAAATATTAACTGTGCTTTTATATTTTAATATTTTAAGATATAGATTTAAATAAAAAATTAAAAAATGAAGGACTCAATGATGAGATGAATAGAAAGATGTGGAGGACAAGTAGCATTATTAAGAGGCACAAACACCAATAGGAAATACATCTGAAAGTATACTGAGGAATTTCAGTAGTCCTGTCAGAAATGATTGCATGTTGATAAAATAGAGTAGTAAAAGTATCTAGTCTAATCTGCCAGGTATAGATAGATATACCTCACAAGTAAGGAATTTGCATCCTGTGCTGGGGGTTATATGGTGCAGGGTTAGAGCAATTGCCTAGAATGCAAGAGACCCTGGCTGGGTTCCATTTGTTATTCAATAACAAAAGAATGCCTCTTCTCAGTCCGAAAGGGAATAGTAAGATGTGAATTTGAATGTGGCTGTTCACCAAGACTTAGTACATAAGTTAATTAAAAATAAAAACAGGTTATGTGACACATTCTTGCTGAAATTAGCTATTAAGCAAGTGCTTGCCATTGGCTGGGAGACAACAAGATATAAAGCATGGGAAAAGAACAGGCGCTGTTTACAATAAGCACTGCCACACATATTAATTTGTGCACTGACATTTAAAAATATTTTTAAAGGGTGTTGGCATACACCTTTCATTACAACAACACTCTTGGAAGCTGAGGTGAGAGGATTTTCAGATTGAGTATGATGGCCTGGGTTTGACTCCAGAACTGAAAAAAAGATACTAAATTAAAAATGTGCAATTCTGTGCTTCTTAGTTTTTTAAGGCTTTCCATTCCAGCCAGTCCTTCCGTCTTCACACAGACATCCTCAGTTTTCAACAGTCCTTCTGCTCTGAAACACTAAAGTGGTACGAGTGGCCTGATTTTGATAGGGGTAGCATGTAAATTTCCTGCAACAGAGCCTTCAGGAACTTAAGTGGATGCCTTCTGTTGTAACAGAATCATCCAGCACAGGTCATATTTCTGAGTGGACCAGACTCTTTCTATAACATTTTTCTTACTCCTCCTGGATGTTTACACTCATGTGAATATCACTGCTGTGATATGAAGCCATTAACGGCATAGTAATATGTATAATTTTTAAAGTTCTTAATACAAGGGAATATTTACAAAACCTATCTAAATACAATATGCTTTCCAACAGTTTCCTTTGTAAATTAAAATGTTTTGCTCTATGTAAGTAAAAGTTAGGGCCTCTGAGAACCTAAGTTACTGCCTTTAGTTATAAAATCTAAGATCTTTCAGGAATCAGAACTTATAGGAACAGGTTAAATTGTCCAGGTGTTTATCTTGAGTTCAGATATTGTTTTAACTATGCTTATTGTGTAAAATGTACTGTCAACTGCATGTTCAAAGATAACAGTTATTTACAGTTAGCTCTTGTGGAGACTGAGTAGATTAGCCGAACAACTGCTTGCTAGTTTATGGCTGTCACCTCAGTGTGTCCTCATATGGAGGAAGAATGAAGTTCTCACTGTGTCTTGAAAGCACACTGTTCTCATTCATGATACACTCACTTTCACGACTTCTCCTGCACTGCTTATCTTCCAAAATTCAACTCTCCATCACAACATTTAGCAATAGGCTTTCAGCATAAGAATTTCTGGGAGAGATATGGTTATTCAGTTCATAGTGAAATTGTAGAAGATCTGAAAATCAAGAATTGAATCTTTTCTCTAAGGACCTCTATGCTTTCTATTCAGGCTTATGCCCCACAGCTACCAAAATATGCTTGCCTTCATTTTTGCCATTGAGGAGATCAACAGGAATCCTTATCTTTTACCCAACATATCTCTGGGCTATGAGTCCCATAATTCTCTGCACAGTCATGGGAATATATTGAAGAATGTCCTCATGTTGCATGCAGGACAGGATGAAGTCCCTAATTACACCTGTGGCAGAGACAGCAAGTCTGTAGCATTGCTCACAGGAACCTCATGGGCAACAGAGGCTCAGAGTGGACCACTGTTGGAGCTCTACAAGTTTCCACAGGTAAGGAGAGAAGCGTGACATAAAACCACGTTTCCTTTGTTGCCCTTCTCAGATTGCTAAAGATGATGAAAGAGAGTGGTAAAAGAAGATTCACTCACAGCATAGAATTGTAATGGGTGAGCACATCGAGATTGATAGATTTCTCAAAGTTTCTTTTTCTGCATCAGAGAGAAGGGAGAGGGAGAAAGAGAAATATTCTGAAGCTGATTCTGATCAGTTATTTAAGAAATAAAGATCTTAGGAAGAGAGATAATCCCATTCATGGGAAGAAAAAGCATCTCCTTCTTGTTAAGGTCCTTCAGATCTAACATTGTGCATTACTTAAACTCTCTTCACATTGCTTCCAATTTTCTTTGCAGCTGACTTTTGGCTCTTTCGATCTTGTTCTGAGTGAATACGGCCGTTTTTCTTCTCTCTATCAAATGGCTTCAAGGGACACATCTCTGGCGCTTGGCATGGTCTCCCTGGTGATTCATTTCAACTGGAACTGGGTAGGAGTGATTGTCACAGCAGGTGCAAAGGGTCTTCAGTTTCTCTCAGATGTGAGAGCAGAGATGGATGGGAACAGAGTCTGCTTAGCATTTGTAAAAACAGTCACAAGTGATCCTCTGTTGTATGTTGCAAATACAGAACTACATGACTTCCTGACCAAGGACACCATTGGAGTAAATGTGATTATCATTTACCATGATACTGAGAATGTCAATGACTTAAACCATAATGTAGGGTTACATTTAGGGACATGGAGAGTCTGGGTAACAAACTCACAATGGCAGGCTGACCTGACTGGGAAAAATTTCCTTCGTGACTCATTCCATGGAACTTTCATTTTTTCAAATCACCACAAGGAGATTTTTGGTTTTAAAAAGTTTATTCAGACAGTGAACCCTTCCATTTACCCAGAAGACATATTTGTACAGCAGTTTTGGTACTCCCATTTCCAGTGCTCATTATCTGACTCTGGCTGTGCACTGGAGAACTGTATACCCAACGCCTCTCTGGAGTGGCTGCCTGTGAATCGTTTTGACCCCGCCATGAGTGATGCGAGTTACAACATATACAATGCTGTGTATGCCGTGGCCCATGCCCTACACGAGATGCTCTTGAAACAAATACAAAAACAACCAGCGGGAAATGTGGAAGAAATAGTGATTTCCCCCTGGAAGGTATGCAATTTCTCTTCCACTGGATGGTTTCTACTTTCTTTGAGATTCTTATAAAAACCTACATGTGCTCTAAGCAAGTACTGTACTTTAGAAATCTTAGAATAAGTAGATTCTTTACTAGTTTTATTGTTCTTAATTGACTATGTTATACATAATAGTTATATTTATCTTGGAGAACTGGTTCACAGATGGAGCACATCTTGAACACTTTGATCATTCTTACTTACCCTCTTCCCTTAGATTGCCTACCTCTCCTTCCCTGGTCCTCTTCTCATCTCACCAGACCCACTTACTCTTCTCAAAAACACTTCCCTTATTCTTACTGTCTCATTTTTGTTTTTCTTTTTTTTCCATTACTTATATATAGGTTCTATAACATTAGAGAAACTATGTGATGTCTAATCTTTGCTGTTTATTTCACCTAATATCACAGCCTTAAGTTTCATCAATTTTCTTACAGATAACTCAACTTTATCCCTCTGTATGTTTGAGTAGCACTGTATAATGTGTATATAACACATTTTCTTTATGACATGTTGCTACCTTTGCCATTGTATTTTAGGAACTTTTAAGTTTCTTCTGTGATCCACTGACTATTCAAGAATATATTCATTTCCCTGTGTTTGTGTAGTTTCCTAAATTTTTCTTTGCTGTTGATTTTTAGTTCCATTGTATTATCATCTGATAGTATGCATGAGGATTTAAAAAATTCCTTTATATTTATTTTTAGCATGTTTTATGGTCTGAGACATGGTCTATTTTGGAGAAAGTTCTGGGTTCTACTAAGAAAAATATGGACCTTGTTGTTAAATGCAACACTCTGTAGATATCTGTTAAGTACATATAATAGGCTCAAGCACAGCCTAACAACTGACGAACTGTGGTAACCATTTGCCTGATATGTTTAACAGTCATAGCAATATCTGTACTTATATAATATAACCCAGCTTATACCGGGAACTTATATGCAACATTTTTCCACTTAGTGATTTTACTTGTTTTGTCTGTATTTAAGAGGAGTAGGGGATAAGATTGAGAAGTGTGGGCTTAAATATGTTTTAAACAGAAAAAACATGAAGCAAAACACAGCTAAAAAACAGTAAAAAATGCAAAATGATGACAAAAACAACAATAATAAATAGTGATATAGGATTTCAAACCAAGATAATAGGAATTTAGCAGTGGTTATTATATTGCATATTGTTATCGTCAAAATAGTTGCTCAGGTTACCAGATATAGGCTTTCAAAACTGACCAAACAATATAATATTCCTATGAGCAGTTTCTTTTCTTTTACTATATCTATTGTAACGTTTGGATTTTATTTACTCTTTCAGTTTCTTACAATAGCAAGACAATATGGTGTTTACATACGCAAGTCTAATTTATTTCACTTAAGAGTACTGTTTCCAATTGCACCTGCATATAAAAAGCCTAGAGTTTATTCTTATCTATGGCTCACTACTGTTCTATTATGTAAACATATTTTATATATTATATAAAAATTCCTCATTGATAGCCATTTGTGTTGTTTCCAAGATCTCGCTGTTCAAATTTTGTAGCTGTAAACATGGGCAAACATGTAGTGCTGTGGTATGATGTTTTCACTTCTTCTGGGGAAATACCCAGAAGGGGAATAGCTGCATCAAATGGAGCCTCTAACACTAGTATTGAGCAATCTTCACGTTGATTTCTACAGTGGTTGTACCTGTCTACACTTCTACCAACAATGGAAGGTTCCCTTTTCCCCACAGCCTCAACAGTATTTGTTATTGTTTAATTTCTTGATGATAACTATTATTTATGAAATGAGATGATACCTCAGTATTGTTTTATTTGCATTTATCAAATAACCAGTGATGTTGAACATTTTTGTATATTTTTTTTATTTAAAGAAAGACTAAACAAAACAGTAAATGGGTAGATATAATACATACTTTCAAAGAAAAAGTAAAAAAAGTAATAAATCACTAGTTGATGTTTACATATTGTCTTCTTACAAATAATTGTTCAAGATACAAAAGTCGAACATATAAGTGGAACATATAAGAATTCAAACAGCAAGATTGCAAATAGTTCTATTCAATTATCTAACAAAAACTTATATTATGATTATCAATCCTATACACTTAAACATATATGCAGTTATCCATATCTTCATTTATGTTGAGATTATACAAACCAAAGCAGACTAAAATCACTCTGGACAAAGAATAATAGTATTGCTGAATTTCACATCACGACACTTTGGGATCAGCCCTGGGTACTGTACTGTCTTTTTTCCTTCAAAGTATTTGTTTATTTTATCATGTGTCATAAAATCAGTTCTTGTAAACTGTTTATAGGTTCTATGAATGCATGTGTCTTAACATGTATTTTTATCCTTTCTATATTAGAGGTGGAAATAAAACAAAGCAGGACAGAACAAAACATATTCCTATAGATACATAAAACTAAAGACATATAAAACCACTGTACAAGGAGTTGTACTGTGATTACTGTGTTATCTCTTGTTATCTTCAATAGAATTTCTATATCATCAGATATAATATAATTGAATATATCAGTACATAACAGTACTGCTATTGAATTATTATTTCCTGATTCCTTGTTCTTTTGGAAAAAAATCTTTTAAAAACTTTTTAAAAGAATGCAGCCAAACAAAATAAAACAGAATAAATGCAATCAAAACAAAATAGTGAATGTAATGCAGGACTTCAAAGCAAGGTAATTGCTATTAATAAAGCAAAAAGGATTTGAGACTGTGAATAGAAATATCATGTTCCAGAAGAGGCATCCATTGTTTTCATGAACATAGTGTGTTTAAACACGAGCAACCCAGCAGTAAAATGGGGAAAATAAGAACACATGCAGATGACTCCTTAAGCAGTAAAAATGAGCATTCCTTTACCTTGTACTGTTACAGTAAGAGGTCCTGAAAACACTTGGAATAGGCATTATTTTGTCAACTTCTGGTCTCATTTATAAACAATTAAATAGAATGTATGAAACCTCAGCAGAACACAAATGGTAAATATAAAGATAGACATTTTCCCATATGTCCTTCTGTGAATTACAGAGCAATTCACTTAAAGTTCAAATTCAGTTCAGATTTTTGGAGAAATATTTGAAAAGTAGCCATATTATAACATGTCTTAAATGTTTTTTTCTTTTATCTTTTGATAGTGCTATTTTGGGTAAGGGATGACATTAAAGTATACAAATGATAAGTAAGATTATAGACATTCATTTATGATCAACTAATCAGAATTTTGGTTTCATAATCGTTTTCAATAAAGAGTATTGGATTCACTAAAAAAAAAAAAGAGATAGTAGAAGAAAATCCCCCTTATTGGCTATATTGCATATGATCAACCTCCCAAGAGATGTTCAGATCTCTGGTTCCTATTTGCTAAAGCAGGGCAGAGGAAGTGGGATGTTTGACTCTCAGCCCCTGCACCAGTAGGCTCACTATTGCTTAGTAGGGAGGCAGGCTGGTTGCTTGGTTTCCCAGCACCCTAAGTTCCAACATGGTGTGGATCTCAGGAGACGCTGGTGGTTCTTTCCCTGGGGTAGCTGCAGCCTGCCACACCACAGCCACTTACCATGGAGGTGAGCTGGTTGCTTGGTTTCCCAGTGTCCTAAGTTCCAACGTGGTGTGGATCTCAGGAGTCACTGGTGGTTCTCCTCCTGAAGGGGCCACAGCTGGCCACACTGCAGTAACTTACCATGGAGGCAAGCTTGGTTCCTTGTTATTTTTAAGAGCCCTTTCCTTTCCTGATTGTTGGCTATGATCCTGTGTACAAGGTCTGAATGTCTATCTTCAGTTTCTTCCAAATGGTTTTGGCAACTCACAATGGAATTTTTATTTCCTGGATATCTCTTTGAATCTGTTTCATGCACTACAATTCTTTTTTTTTTTTTTTTTTTTTTGTCTTTGAGACAGTATCTCGCTGTGCAGTTCAGGCTGACCTTGAGCTCACTTTGTAGCCTAGGCTGGTCTCGAACTCACAACGATCCTCCTGCCTCAGCCTCCCAAGTGCTGGGATTATAGGCATGAGCCACCATTCCCGGCTTACAATTCTTTTTTATATTATTCATTCGAAGTTTCCCTCATTTACCTATCCTGTTTCTTAAATTTGTGTTTTCTTTAGATATACTTGGTAACACTTTTACTATATTTGTCACTTCTTCTTTTGCCTGCGCTATTATTTCTGATCTACTTTATTTTGCAGTCTCATGATGTAAGTTCTTTACTTCAGCTGCCGTCATCCCAGAAATTTCAGATGCATGACATTCACTTTCTTCATGTCTGTGTTTCCTATACTTTTTCAGTTTGGGCTGGAGGCCAGAAATCACCTTTTGCTGGGTTCCTCTGGATCAGTGGCTTGCAGGGTCTCAGGTACTTCCCATATTGGCTATCCATCCACAATATATGGGGAAGAGTCAAGCACCTGAATTTCTACTAACCCATTTTTTTCTAGAAGGTAGTGGGGTGTGGGGCAGCCTTCTGCAGACATTCATGAATGGAATGGCTGGCACTGTTGGCTAGTTTTCCTGGCTTGTACTGGCTACACACAAGAAAATCCTGATGGTGATGGGGCCTTACATGCTACTTCTCCCCACCCTGGCTGGCTACCTGTGGGAGAGTCTTGATGGTTCATGATCACTAGCCACAATAATGTCTTCATGATCTGAGAGTCTGTCTTCAACTTCATTCATGCCATTTCCCCAGCTTTCAATATAATATCTCTTTAAATATGTTTCATGTATTCTAATTGTTTCCTGTATTGTTTATTTAATGTTTCCATTAGTTTTGTATGCTCTTCCAATATTTTTTGTATCAATTTCTTCTTTGGATATAGTCACCAATACTTTCATTATGTTTATCATTTCTATTTTTACCTGAAAGATTGTTTGTGACCTGATTTCCTTTGAAGCTTTGTGGAGTTGTTTCTTTACTTCCATTTCTATCATTTCAGAAATTCAGACATGTGATTTCCAATTTAATCCATGTCTATATCTCTTGGACTTGATCTGGATGGGCTGGAAGTTTGAGATTGCATTTTCTTCTCGTGTCTTTGCATTTTCCTGTGTTCCTCTATATCAGCTGGATGCCAAGGCCGATATGTTTTGTGCACTGGTGGCTCATCTAGCAGTGGATCTCACTGAATGTTGCTGGTGTCTGTGAGTGTCTGAATGAACACTTTCAGTGTCTGTGGCCTTGGTTCTGGTTCCTGGGTGTGGGAGAGTCATTGGGGTGGACTCCCAGTTCCCATAAGCCTCATCAAGAGTTCCAAGATGACTGCAGGCTGCTGGTTGCAGATTCCCAGTCCCTGCAGACCTCTTAGGTGGTTCTGGTGTGTGGGAGGGTCACTAGGTGCAGACTCTCAGTTCCTGTAGGCCTCATGAGGGTTTCCCACATAACTTTGATTCACTGGACATGGAGTTTCAATCCCTATAAGCCTCAGTGAGGGTTCTAGGATTACTGGAAATCACTTTCTGGAGACTTTTTGTTTCTCCAGCCCAAAGAGACCTCAGAGATGTTTCCCCTGTTTGTTATAAATATAGTGGGATCCAGTTTGGTGGGCAAAGAATGATCATTTAAGTTTTGGGTTATTGAAGAATACAAGAGGGATGGATTGGATGAGAAAGTTTAGGAGTACTGAAGTGAACCAGAAAGGGAAGAGACAATGGTTAACCCATGAAAATCTCAGAAAATCATGTGAAATAGTCGATGAAATAAGAAAAGCGTGAGTGACATAATGCAAAGGAATGTTTAGAGATATAAATAATGGACAAAAGGGAAATGAAGGTGGAGTAGAGTAGGTAAAGAAGAAAAAAGAGATGAGAAAAAAGAGAAAAGGAAAACAGAAGTAAACAAGAATAATCACACATACAAAATAACAACAAAAATACAGAAAAAACAGGGCAAAACGAAACAGGGAAAATGTGAAAAAGAAAAATGAAAAAACACAAACAACAATATCAACAAAACAAAACCAAAACCAAACACAAACAGCCAAACAAAAACCACTAACACAGTGCACTATCAAGAGGAACATCTATCAGGTAAAGAAAAATAAAAGTAGTGAGATTCCTCGAGTGTCCACAATACAATAGGAGATCTAAGTGTCATCCTAGAACATGTCCTCCACTCAATATTGCAGGTGAATTTGTGCTGCATTTGGGTCTGATTTTTCCCTCTGTGTTTGGGTTATGGGATATTCTGTACCTGGTGTTCTCCACAGCCATTTCAAAAGGAAAAAAGTAAGGAGAGAAAGAAAGAAAAAATAGTGAAAACAAATGTAAAGATAGTGTCACTGCCCGCCCACTTCTATTTCAGGTGTCTTTTTACCAAAGCACAAAGCTGGTTCTCCTATCTTATCATCTGCTGGCTCATGTTTTTACTGTTGCTTTGGACTTTTTTGTGACATTAGTCCTGCCTGTGCATGTGAAGCTCTAGGCAGGGTTTTATTGTGCAGCTGGGGTCCCTTAGTCATGTCAATGGAGGGAGAAGAAGCCAGGCTCAAACTCCTTCATGCCAATTGCAACAGCTCCTGGTCAAGGACCAAGATGTGTTTCTTGTGTGCAACACATAGTTAAATTTTTAAACAGTTAATCTGCCAAACTGTATTCTGATTGGAAGCTAGGAGCATTAATATTGAGTAGCGTTATTGAAAAGTATTTACCAAATCCTATCACTAGATTGCTTATCCACTGCTGATTCCTTTATATTTTCCCTTTTGTTTAACTATCCTTGCAGTTCATTGTGTTCTTTCTTCACAGTTCTTACTGATGTTGACATCACTGTCTCTATCTAGGATTTCCTGAAGTACTTTCTGTAATGTTGATTTAGTGTTCATGAATTTTTGTTTTAAAAGATGTCAGTGCTCTGCCCATATGTCTTTAATAAGGAAAAACATTAAATTTACTTGGAAGTGTTTAAAGTAAGTAGGAAGAAATGAAGAAAACAGGAAAAACTAATTTCTGTATTTCTCTAAGGCATGCTAAATAATGTAGTGGATACATCGATGAAGTTTCATATTTATTTCTCCAACCTGCTTTGGTACTGATAGGTTCATCTTGCAGAAAATGATCTGGAAACAATCATAGAGAAAATGGCAATAGGAAATTTTGACTTCAAAAGTTTAGCTTATCTTTTATTTCAAAAATCCACATTTACTGTCTGTTTGCATTAGATTGGATAGAGTATTTTTCTTCTTGAACCTGGCTGATATTTTAGGAATATTATGATACTTGATCCTTCATATGCTTTTGCTTTTCTGCTTCATTGTTTACTTCTGTTAAGGTTCCATTATGAGAGAAAGATTAAAGACATTTATGAACTGTCCCACATTTAGGTTTTCTGACTTATTTCTAAAACCTACCTCATTAGAGGATGATATGTCTTTTCAGCTACACTCCTTTCTGAGGAACATCCAATTTAACAACACTGTTGGAGACCAAATGAATTTGGAAGAGAAAATAAAACTGAATGCAAAGTTTGACATTCTCAACTTTTGGAATTTTCCAGAAGGTCTTAGACTTAAGGTGAAAGTAGGGGAATTTTCCCCTTATGTCACACATGGTCAAAAACTATCTTTATCTGACGAGATGATACAGTGGGCGATGGGAAGTACAGAGGTATGTGGAAGTTGGTCCTAATGCACTTCAGGGGACGTGGACACCCAAAGCCTTGCTGTGGGGTTGGTGCCTCCATTTCTGGTCAGGAAAGGGTTACTTATGGACACGGAATTCACTTTATAATTTAAAAAACCTTCTTATTTATCCACTTTTCTTATAAATGAGAAAAAGCATTTACTGAACCATGTTTTTGTAAATATTAATGTATTTCTTATCATTAAGCATAGTATTTCATCGCGTAATTGGGCTATGCAGGTATACAAATTAAGATTATTACTCTAGTTATAAAGCATTAAGGAAATGAGAAGTGATTCATGCATACCTGATTTTCCTCAGACCCCCCGCTCTGTATGCACTGAGAGTTGTACTCCTGGATTTAGGAAAACCCCTCAGGAGGGAAAGGCTTCCTGCTGTTTTGATTGTATCACATGCTCAGAGAATGAGATCACCAACAACACAGGTAAGAGTGTCTTTCCACCTCTCATTTCCTTGCTCCTATCCATGCAATGAAAAAGAAAGTCTTGAAAGAAAAGCAAAAGCATGAAAGTTAATTCTGATAACTATTGATAACCTTGAATACATTTGATCAGAAGAGAGAGAAATTGTAAAGCAATAAAACACCACAACCAAAAATGGCTGTTGATACAAATAAAATATTTCATGAGGAAACTTTTATATGTTATAAATAACTTTGCATCCATCTGTGAAAATTTAACTGAAATTCACAAATTTATAGGAAAACAAAAATAGCCTTAAGAAAAAAATTGTAGTACAACTACTGTAGAGCTTCCTTAAAAAAACAAAACTAGAAATTCCATTTGACTCAGCTACAAAGTTGTCAAATTACAGTGACATACGCACACCTATTTTATAGTGTTACAGTTTGTAGTGTAGATATCCATTTATTAGTAGATAAATGGATAAAATATGGAATTTATACATAATGGAGTTCTACTCTGTTACTGAAAGAAATAAACTTCAGGCATTCATAACTAAATGAGTGTGCCTGGAGGCTGTAATGTTAGCTGAAATAATCCAGACATGTAAGTTTAAATATTGAATGATTTATGTGAGGAATACAAAATATAAGTAGAGAGCAAAATAAAATATTGATAATAGTAGGGGAATTTTTTTCCAAGTGGAAAAGGGAACACAAGATGAAGGAAGGGAGCCAGGAGGGAAGAAAAAAGAGGTAAGAAAGAGAAAAAATGGAAATAGAACTTTTAAAAAAATTTTATTTAAAAGGAAAAAGAGAAAAAACAAAACAAAACAAAGTGGTGTAAGGGTACAAGTAATACAGAACTCCAAAAAAAAAAAAAGTAACAAACTCACCAGTTAATAGATTACACATTATCATCTTAGAGATAGTTGCTCAAGTCACAGTATCAAAGCATACAAAGTGGACATTCAAACAGAGAGACTGCAAACAGTTGTGTTCAGTGATCCAACCAAAAACAATATGGTCAGATATTTAACACCCCTAAACACACTTGCAGTTGTATCTTTTAGAGAACTTTTTTTCCCTCTCTTTTTTACAACAAAATTTACACATTTTGGGTTTTATTACTCCATAGTTCTTATTACTTTTTTTTTGGAAGAGAATAAAGTCAAATATGGCAAAACAAAGCTGTCAGTCAAAACCAAGGATAGCCATAGTACATGATGTAAAAACAGAGTACAAGGTTATCAACAATGGTTACCATAATGTCTCTTGTTTCCTTTAAAAGAATTGTCTATCTCATTAGGTATTATAAAGTTGAACAAAACAGTAGAGAACAAGACCAGTAAAACTTAAACATTGTAAACATTACAGGACTTCCAAAGGAGACAATAGTCAAACCAGAATGGGCATCTTAGTGAATCTTATTGCCTTCAAAGTAGTTGCCTATACCCTCAAACTTGATACTATCATACAGAATGGAACAGAGTCTAATCAGTCAAAACAAGATAGTGGGAGTATCACAGGACTTCAAAACAAGTTAATAGGAAATCAAAAAAAGTTACTATAATATATCCTGCTAATTTTTTAAAATTTTCCCCTTAATTAAAAAAACCATAAAAAATAATTAAATAATTTTTTAATGAATAAGGGAGAGATTGAGATAAAAGAGGACATAACAACATAACAATACAGGTCAAAGCATGACTGTTTCAGCAACCTAGTGCTTCACCACCAAATAACCCGACTTAATAGTAGTTACCATAGTGTCTGTCTTTTTCCTTGAAATATTTGAATATAACTTCGTATACTATAGCTTCAAATATTTCCATATCAAGAAGCCCAGAATAAAGCCTTTCCAATTAATAAGTGAAAACTTTATAAGGCTTCAAGGCCACATAATGGGGAATCATGATTACCACATACTTTTATATATTTGAATCATTACTTACATTAGGGAAACTATTCTGTATTCACACATGCGAGATTGATTTATTTCACTTATGAGTATGGTTTCAAGCTGCGCCCATTTATTCATAAATATCTCAATGTGATACTTCTTTATAGCTGAATAATACTCCATTGTATAGAAACACCACAACTTTTTTTATCCATTCCTCAGTTGATGGACACTTGGGTTGTTTCCAAGATCTGGCGATTACAAATTGTGCTGCTATAAACATAGGTGCACATACATCACTGTGGTATGATGCTTTCAGTTCTTCTGGGAATATGCCTAGAAGTGGAATAGCTGGAATAAATGGGATTTCCAATCCCAACTTTTTGAGAAATCTCCAGACAGACCTCCACAAAGGCTGCACCAGCCTACACTCCCACCAACAGTGTAGGAGAGTTCCTTTTTCCCCACAGCCTCTCCAGCATTTGCTGTTGTTGGTTTTCTTGATCCTGGCCATTCTTTCAGGAGTGAGATGGTATCTCAGTGTGGTTTTAATTTGCATTTCTCTAATGACCAATGATGATGAACATTTTTTCATGTATTTATTTGCCTTTTGTAGGAAATAGAACTTTTACAAATGGGAAAAGGGATAAGCATTGGAAGGGACCAGAAAGGATGAAAGTGGGAGGGTATGAAAAAAGAATGAAGATGTGCTGTGTATATGTTCAAACTCCCCACAATATATGTATTTATTATGTACTGCAAATGTCCTAACAGAAAATAAATCTAAAAATTAAAAACTATCCATGATATTTATTACCATATTTATTAAAAATATTAAGGTTATATATATTTTAACAATCTTTATGATGATTAATGTCTTACTGATTTATACACAGGGACTTACTAATATTGACTAACTCAGATTCCTATAGAGAAGAGAAAAGAAAAAAGTGGGAAAATTCATTTTCTTAGAAGTGGTAAATTTTGCTATCCAGAGCTGTCAATGCCCTTACAAGAAACAAAGAGCACAGTCCACATTCATTCTTGAAATAAATGTATGTATTCTACCCCACATTGTGATCTACATTTGAGGAGGCTCCAAAATAATCAAATCTGGATTATGAAACATAATTCAGTACAATTGTTTTTTGGAATGTGGGCATGACCTCAATGACTGAAGAAAAATACCAGATCAGAAACCTTTCCTTATTTATAAATAAACAATGAGAAAATATTTTCTAGTAAACCAGAAATAAGAAGAAATTGTCTTAGTTAAGGATATGGGACTTAAAAGGTCCTAAAGCAAAAAAATTTTTTAGTTTAGTGTTTGAAGCAAGAAAGAGACAAAAATATTCCCTGTGATGATTTTAATCTGGCAGTATTGGAAGCAATGTTGTCAGGAAAAGAAATAAAAGCAAAAATTTCCTGGAAAGGAAATGATATGGTATAATCAGTATTATTTACCATTGATAGTAGTGTATAATTATAAAATTCAGGTAAATCAATAAAATAAATTTGTAATAATTGAATATAAAATTAATCCAAATATTCATGTATCCACACTTTACTGATAAGCCATTCCCAGGTAATATTTTAAAAATTGATATTTATTATACCTTAAGTGTACAAAATATCTAATGATTTTCCTGGAAGGGCTTTGAAAGAAACTATGTATATACTATAGAAAAGCTTTTATAATAAAAAACTAGTTGGATAAAATATAAATGGTTGGATAAGCATGTTCATTGATAGAAAGACTTAATCATGGAAAGATCTTAGAATATCCAAATTTGGCCCACTGATACAATCCGATTGAAATCCAAATATAATACACCTTGTGATAAAAATGACAGTCTTCTGTAGGGCAAGAGATCTTATTTTACCAGTATAAAGTACTACTGGCCTTAACTATTCTCCTGGAACTTATTCAGTTATGTAGCTTTATCACAATTGGTCACACATTGATCACTGCATATGCAAGGTGGCAAGTACAGAGGTTCAAATGAAAGAACAAGACCTTCTAAAAGTATCTTTTGAATACAGAAAAATGTTTTTGTGAATATGGCAGATGAGGAGAATAAATATTGCCATTCACTAAATCATAAAGAAGAGGGGGAGAATTAATTGGGAATTATTCCCTATATAAAATTTCTCACTCGTGTCTTACAAATAAAGGAAAACAATATGGCTTCACAACTCCAATGAGCTCCTTGGTGTAGGGTCATGAATAACAGAGAAATACTAAATGTAGGCTGATGTGAATTTTCTTTTCTCACTAGATATGGAGCAGTGTGTGAAATGTCCAGATCATCAGTATGCCAACGATCAGAAAAACCAGTGTCTCCAAAAATCTGTGACTTTTCTGGCTTACAAAGACACCCTGGGGAAGGCTCTGGTTAGCACAGCCCTGAGTCTCACCATTCTCACAGCTGTCGTTCTTGGGCTCTTTGTGAAGCACCGAGACACTCCCATTGTCAAGGCCAACAACCGGGCTCTCAGCTACACCCTGCTCATCTCCCTCACCTTCTGCTTCCTCTGCACCTTGCTCTTCATTGGCCGTCCCAGCACAGCCAGCTGTATCCTCCAGCAGACCACATTCGCAGTTGTCTTCACTGTGGCTGTTTCCACTGTCTTGGCCAAAACCATTACTGTGGTGCTGGCCTTTAAGGTCACTGCTCCAGGCAAAAGGATGAGGCAGTTCCTGGTATCAGGGGCACCAAACTACGTCATCCCCATCTGCTCCCTGATCCAACTCACTCTCTGTGGAGTCTGGATGGGGACGAATCCACCCTACATTGACACAGACGCACACACTGAACATGGCCACATCATCATCGTGTGCAACAAGGGCTCCATCACTGCCTTCTACTGTGTCCTGGGATACCTGGGCTCCTTGGCCCTGGTCAGCTTCACTGTGGCTTTCCTGGCCAGGAACCTGCCTGACACCTTCAATGAAGCCAAGTTCCTGACGTTCAGTATGCTGGTGTTCTGCAGTGTGTGGGTCACCTTCCTTCCTGTGTATCACAGCACCAAGGGGAAAGTCATGGTGGCCATGGAGGTCTTCTCCATCTTGGCCTCCAGTGCAGGTCTTCTGGGTTGTATCTTTGTCCCTAAGTGCTATATCATTTTGTTAAGACCAGAGAAGAATGCGCTACATGGATTCAGAGATAAAACACATTCTAGGAGATAAAATTTTTTAAGTTAAAACATAGTTTCCTTAAAATACATAGAGGGTGTGAGGAAATTTTACCTTATTTTTCTAGTCAGATATTGTACTATGAGTTTTACATAAATAACTATAACTCTCATTTTCTTCATTTCTATTTTGTTATTTTACTAAAAAGGTAAGGCAGAATTTCATAACAAAATAATAGGAGAATAATAATAGTTAATACATTGCATATCATCATTTTCAAAGTAGTTTCTCAGAGTAAAAATATGCGAATAAAAATCCTCCAACTGGTATTAGCACAAACCTCCCTTTTCAATGAAATAAGAGACACTATGGTATAGCTTGGTTGCCCTTTTCCCCATTTTTACTTTATTATTTTCCCCTATTCCCCATCCTAATTCTTTTTTTCTTTTACATGATTTCTTCAGATTTCACAATATCTATTTTACATTTTGGAACTTATTGACTGTCAGTTTCTCACAGCAGGAAGACAATAGGATGTTTACACATGGGGTATGATTAATTTCATTTATTAGTATGGTCCAAAATTGTATCAATTTACCTATGAAAGTCTGAAAATGAACTTTCTTTATGGCTGAGTAATTCTCCATTGGTATAATGTGGTATAAAAATAGCACATCTTTTTAAATACTTTCTTCAGTTGATGGGCATTTGGGTTGTCTTGAAAAGTTAGCTATGACAAATTGTGCTATAAACATGGGCCCACATATATCACTGAGAAATGATGCTTTTAATATTCTGGGAAGACATCCAGAGAGAAAAAGCTGGGCCAAATACAACCTCTAATCCTAGCTTTTTGAGGAATATCCATACTGATTTCCACATGAGTAGCACCAGTCTACACTCCCACCAACAGTGGAGAGGGGTTCCTGTTTGCCAAAGCCTCTCCATCATTTGTTATTCATTGATCTCTTTGTCATAACAATTTTTTCTGGAGTGAAATGGAATTTCAATGTTGTTTTAACTTGCACACCTCAAATGACCAATGATGATGAATATTTTTTCATATATTTATTTGTCATTTGTATTTCTTCATTGGAAAATTGTGTGTTCATGTCAGATGCCTATTTTTAGATTGGGCCTTTGAATTTGGGGGTGTGAGTTTTTATAATTATTTGTATGTTATGGATAGAAGTCCTTTATCTCAAGTACAATTATCAAGACTTTTCCCCCACTCTGTGAGCTGTATTTTCACTCTGTTGGTGGTTTCTTTTGAAGAACAAAGACTTTTTAATAAGATGAGATTCAAGTTGTTGATTTTTTTCAGTACTCCCTGTGCAGTTTGGGTTTTGTTCATGAGCTTTCTGCCCATATCCACATCTTCAAGATTTGTTCCTAACTTCTCTTCCAGTACATTTAGTATTTGTATTTTAATATTTAGATCTTTGATCCATTTTGACTTCAGTTTAGTACATGATAGATATGGATGTAATTTTAGTATTTGACATGTAGAGGGCCAGTTTTTCCAGCATCATTTATTGAAGAGGCTATGTTTGTTTCAGTGAACATGTCTGAATCCTTTGTGAAAGATACAGAGGCTAAATGTGTTTGTAATTATGTCTGCATCTTGTATTCTGTTACACTGATCCCCAAGTCTGTTTGCTGGTAGCATACTGATTTTATCATAGTCACTTTGCGGTACAATTTCAAATCAGGGAAATGTGATGCCTCTTGCATTTTCTTCAGTACCCAAGACTGCCTTTGCTATACCACATTTCTACCATATCAAAATGAATTTTAGGAATGTTTTCTCTAGTTCTGTGAGGTGTGCTGGTGGCGTATTGATTGGAATTGCATTAAACCTCAATGACAGTTTTGGAGATATAGCCAATTTCACATTGTTAATTCTTTCTACACTTGAGCAAAGCATATCTTTGCATTTTCTGTTATCCTCTTTAATTTCCTTTTTCAGAATATTATAATTTTCAATATATAGATCTTTTACTTTCCTTGTTAGTTGATTCCTAAGTATTTCCATTTTTTGGATACTATTTTTAATGGTGTTATTTTCCTAATTTCTCCTCAGTGAATTTGTTGTTTGTGTGCAGGAATAGTATTGAATGCTTTTTTTGTTTAATTTAATTTAATTTATATTTCTGATTTTAAAGAGAATAAAACGAAAGCAAAACAAAACAAAATAGAACAAAGCAAATCAGAGCAAAACAATGCAAATGACACTGGATTTCAAAACAGGACAACAGGAAATCAACCATAATGTGGCCACCATAATGTCTCTTGTTTTTTTAAAATGGTTGTCTATATCTTTACACAGAATAAGTCAATAAAAAACAAAATAGTATACAAGCAATCAAAACAAAAAATGAGAACCTTATGGGCCTTCAAATCCAGACAATAGGAAATTGATAATGGCCACATAATGTCTCTTATTTTCATCAAAATACCTGCCCAATATTGATTATTGAGTGTTCGCTTTGTATTCAAGCTGTGAGAACTAATTAGGTTATGAAAGCTAGAAGCCTTGGGGCTGAGGATTTAGCTCAGCTGCATAAGCGCCTGCCTTGCAAGTGTGTGGTCATGAGTTCCATCCCTGGTACAAAAAAAAAACAAAAACAAAAAAAAAAAAAAAACAAAAAAAAAAAAACAAAACCCAAAAAACCCCAAAAAAATCTAGAAGTCTTTTCATGGAATTTAAGGGGTCTTCTATGTAGAGTATCATGTCAACTGCGAATAACGATACTTTAATTTTTGCCTTTTCTATATTTAGTTTTTCTATTTGTTTCTCTAATTGCTCTCACTAATGTTTCCAGAACCATATTGAATAGAAATGGTGACATAGGACATCTTTGTCTTGTTCTTGATTTTAAAGTGAAAGCCTTCAGTTTTTGTCCATTTAATATGATGATGGCTGTTGGCTTGTCATAGATGGCTTTTATCAGATTTAGGTAAAGACCATCCATTATGAGTTTCTATAGATTTTTCTTTTTCTTTTTTTTTATTTAAAATATGACAGAACAAGACAGAACAAAGCCAATTGAGACAGTGTAGTAAAATTGGTACAGAACTTCACAGTAGGTTACCGGGATAACAGTAATAGGTATCACAATATATCTCATTATTTTCACAATAGTTGTTCTTTCAACCATGTACAGCAAAATAAAATGAAGTACAAAACATTATAGAACTTATCAAAACAGAATATTGAATAGAACAGTACCATTAATCAGGATAAAACAAAACAGTAGTAAAAATATTTGCCTTCAGAAAGATGTTAGAAGGAAATCCCCTTTATTTGCTATATTGCATATGGTCAATCTCCTAAGAGATGTTCAGATCTCTGGTTCCCATTTGCTAAAGGGGGACAGGTGAAGTGGGATGTTTGACTCTCAGCCTGTGCACCAGTAGGCTCACTATTGCTTAGTAGGGAGGTAGGCTGGTTGCTTGGTTTCCCAGTATCCTAAGTTTCAACATGGTGCAGATCTCAGGAGATGCTGGTGGTTCTCCCCTTGTGATGACTGCAGCCTAGATTTTTCTTTTTTATTTTCTTTTCTTTCTCTTCTTTCTTTCTTTCTTTCTTTCTTTCTTTCTTTCTTTCTTTCTTTCTTTCTTTCTTTCTTTCTTTCTTTTTGTCTTTCTTTCTTTCTTTCTTTTTTTTTTTGCCACAAATGAGTGCTGGACTTTATCAAAAGCTTTTGCGGCATCCATTGAGATGGATCCATTGAGATCATCCATTGTGATTTTTTTCTTTAGTTCTGTTGATACGGTGTATTACACTTACTGATTTGCACAAGTTGAACCATTCTTGCATGCCTGGGATGAATCTCACTTGTTCATGTTGTGTCATATTCTTGATAATTAGCTCCATTCTGTTTGCTACTATTTTGTTGAAGTACAAAACATTTGTATCTATATTCATTAAGATGATTTGCCTGTGTCTGTCTTGTTTGTTTTTTTTTTAAAGATTTAAAAAATTTTTTTATTTAAAGAAAGACTAAAACAAAACAGAAAACGGGTAGAAATAATATATACTTTCAAAGAAAAAAAAACAGTAAGAAATCACTAGTTGATGATTACAGCTTGTCCTCTTACAAATAGTTATTTAAGATACTAAAGTGGAGCATATAAAGTGGGGATTCAAACAGTGAGACTGCAACCAGTTCTGTTCAACTATCCAACAAAAACTTAGAAATATGGTTATCAATCCTATACACTTAAACATACATGCAGTTATCCATATCTTCAATTATGTTGAGATTGAACAAACCCAAGCAGGCTAATATCACTCTGAACAAAGAATAATACTATTGTTGGGTTTCACATTATGACACTCCAGAATCAGCACTGGGTACTTTCGTGTCTCTTTTCCTTCAGAGTATCTGTTCATTTCATCATGTGTCATAAGACCAGTTCTCATAAACTGTTTATACATGCTACCCATGCATGAGTCTTAACATGTATTTCTATCCTTTCTACATTATACGGAGAAACAAAACAAAGCAAGACAGCACAAAACATATTCCTATAAACACATGAAACACAAAAGACATATAAGACCATTGTACAAGGAGTTTTACCATAGTTCCTGTATTGTCTCTTGTTATCTTCAAAAGAATTGGCTATATCAGACATAGTATAGTTGAATATATCAGTACATAACAGTATTAATAAAAACACCACTTTGTATGTAATATAAAACTTCAAAAACAGGCAGTTATCAAACCAGAATGTGTATCATAGAGTCTTGTCATCTTCAGTGTAGTTGCCTATAACTCTCAGACTTGATACTATCAATCATATCAGTTTTGAATAAAATCTTTCAATATCAAATAGCAATCAAACCAACCACATTTAACTAAGATCATTCATGATAAAACAGTATAATTCATACAGGGTTCCAGATTAAGATAATAGGAAATTTAAGCTGATTACTATGCTATCCTGATGTTTTGGGGATAGCTGTCTGTGCCCTCAAATCTAATGTAAGTAGACAAACTGGAGTAGAATAAAATCTATCTAAGCAGAGTGGTACGTGTAATGTGGGTTTTAAGTCCTGATACATTATTAACAATATCT